AAAAAAAATGGTGAAAAGCGATTTGAGATTTGAAACGGAGTTGAGGTTGGGGCTTCCCGGAGGCGGTCGCGGCGGAGGTGAGATGGAGAGGAACGAGATGAAGAGAATATTTTCGGATATCGCTACCGCCGGTGGCAGCGGCGGGGTGGAGGAGGGGAAGTTAGAGGCGTTGGAAAGTAAGAATCAAGTGGTCGGGGATGCCGGGTGAAAATCGAAATTGGAATGAAATTCATGTGAATTATGAACAACTCGACGTCTGGATCTGAAATTTTTTTCAGTATATGTTCTGTATATGTTCAGTATATATATATATATATAATTCCAGAAAATAGTATATGTTCGGTATACATATATAATTCCAGAAAATAGTATATGTTCTGTATATGTTCGGTATATGTTAGGTATACTTATATAAACCCCAATATATATGTTTATGTATATATATAAACATCAGATCGGAATAAAACCCATAAAATATACTACATATATACATAAACCAGTTTCAAAACGAAGATAATACATGTTTTTCAGATATATTAATTAGTTTATATACTGAATATATACGCAATCTATACTGCGTGGAATTGGGATGGAAATAAATTGACACGCAATATACCCGTAACTGAAATTCCATTATTTGAGGAGGTGGTTACACTAAGGCTATGTTTGGTAAAATTAGCTGATAAGCTAGCTGATAGCTGATAAGCTAGCTTATAGCTTATATGTAATTTTTGAGCTTATAGCTTATGACTTATAGCTGAAAAGCTAGCTTATATGATAAAAGGTGTTTGGTAAACTAGCTGATAAGCTAGCTGAAATAAAAAAAATTCAACTAGCTTATTTGAAAAGCTACCTAAAGTAGCTTATGAAATAAGCTCGAGCTTTTTTAAAAAGCTCATCCTACCAAACGAGGCTTATTTTAAACAGTGAGCTTATAAGCTAACCAAATAAGCTAAAAGCTAGCTTATTTGGCTTACCAAACATACTCTAAATATAGTAACTGAAAATATTCTGTTGTAGTGTATATGTATAATTAATTAACATGAAATTGGTAAACTTACAAATAAAATTTGACCCCTAATAGAATTATAATTTTTTCTAAATCATGTTGTATAAATAAAAATTCCCCAACAGAATTAGTTGGCAGTAGGCCACTTCTAGGTTTCTGGGCTAACGGCCCAACTAATTTAGCAGAATATGGTGGGGAATGGGGATTGCCTTTCTCCAATCAAATACATCAATATTATTATTACTCCCTCCTTTTTTAAATAAATGTCGTTTTGACTTTTTTGATTCATCCATTTTGCTATGTATCTGAACATATTATATACCGAACATATACAGAACATATACTGAAATGGATGAATCAAAAAAGTCAAAACGACATTTATTTAAAAAAAGAGGTAGTATTATATTATTATTATTATTATTATTATTATTATTATAATGTATTATTATATTGCTAAAATTAAGGCTTTTAATTACTACTATTATTTTAACAATAGCTTTTATAAAAAGGCTAGTAAATAAAGGAAAAAGTGAAAAGGTAGAAGAACATAAAAAGGCTCTACTTTTGTTGTTTGGTAGACAGGTTGAAATAACATTTATCACCCAAGTTCTCATGTGTTTCTTATAATTCAAGCTTTTTGTATCTGTTATCAATTTGACAATATATCAAATTAAGTATTTTTTCGACAAGCTTCGATTCGATATCATTTTACATATATAAAACAAATATATAATTTTATTTTTTATAAAATTAAATAGTATACTAATAGTAACTAAAAATTAATAAAATTATATATCAATTAAAAATGTTATCTATGAATTCATTAGACATGAATATGAAAAATTATTATAATACAAGACGTGCAAATCGCACAAGTAAAACATCTCATCTCATTTTAAA